TTATTACTAAAAGAGGGTATAACAATGGGGATCTCCCTCAATTATGGCTGCAGCCCCAACATGTCAGAACATAACAATAGAAGGCAACATTAGAGCTTTATCTTGTCACCCATGCAGGGCTTGCAAAGGGGATGGTGACAAACCAGCCTGTGACTCAACTCAAGGGTCGGCAAACTTTTTGTGTAAAGAGCCAAACCACAAAATAACCAAACCCGCTGCTGTCAAGTCGACTGACTCATGGTGTCCCCATGTGACAGAGTAGAACTGCCCCATAGGGTTTCCTTGGCTGTAATTGTTATGGGAACAGATCGACACGTCTTTCTTCCACGGAGTCACTGAGTGGGTTCGAACCACCAACATTTAGATTAGCAGCCGAGTGCAAACCGTTTGAATTTCCAACAACTTTTGTAAAGGGCCGGATAGTAAATATTTTCAGCTTTGTAAGCTGTACAGTCTCTGTTGCAACGCTACAGTTATAGTGTGAAAGTAGCCATCGATGGTACGAATGGACATGGCTGTGTGCCAATAAAACTTTATGAACACCAAAATCTGAATTTCACATCATTTCCACCTGTCCATGAAACATTATTCTTTTGATTTTCTTCAACTATTTAAAAATGTAAAAACCACTCTTATCTCGTATAAAACGCGGCGAGCCAGATTTGGCCCTCAGGTTGTAGTTTGCTGACCCTTGGAAGAGCTCAACACCCATGCTCAAGGCATGAAGCGTTGAGGTTGGAAATTGGAGGATTTCTTTGGTGAAGGTTGTCAGCTGGGGAGTCCACTGAGGGAGGGTTGGGGAACTGAGGGGCAAGCTCCCCCCTAACCTCAAGCCTAGCCAGGGAAGCCTCGGAGATCACTGATATGTGATGTGTTAGCTTGAGACATGTCCTCTAGGGTTTGGGGACATGGGAACGTGCCCCCACCCTCACCTAGAGAAGTCTATAGGCAGACACAGCAGTGTATAGTGGTTAAGAACATGGACTATGGAACCAGCCTTCCTGCATTCGAATCCTAGCCCTGCTACTAACCAGCTGTGTGACTTTGGGCAAGTCACTTAACTGCTCTGTGCCTCAGTTTCCTCATCGAAACCACACGAAACAGTGAACCCTAATATAAACTATAAAAAACCAGTTGCCATTGAGTCGACACTCACAGCCATCACGTGTGTCAGAATAGAACTGTGCTCCAGAGGGTTTTCAGTGGCTGATTTTTCAGGAGATCGCCAGGCCTTTCTTCCAAGGTGCCTCTCAGTAAAATTGAACCTCTAACGTTTTGGTTAGCAGCAGAGCACGTTAACTATTTGCACCACCAGGGACTCCTTTCAACAGTATAAACACATACTTATCCTTCGAAGCCCCGGATCCAACATCCCCTTCCAGAAAACCTCTCATCTCTCAGTGCTCCTTCAACTCTGTGTTTTCCTCCTCCCGGCCCTGACCACATGAGGCTGGGAAAACCTGTGTCCAGCAGGACAAGGGATGAAATTTCTGTGCGTCGCTGTGGGCACAGAGAGGACATCAGGAAGTGTTTGCTGGGTGAAGAACGCGGGTAAAATTGAGCAGTGTGATGATGCAGACCAACTGCAGAGCCAAAAGCACCAGGAGCCCTTTCTGGTGCCCAAACAGGGATCACATGGGCCAGCTTGTGAACGTGCACACGTACATGTGTGCACACACACGTACACACATACACGCACACACACACTCTCTCTCTCTCCCTCCTTCCTTCCCCAAGCAGTGACCAGGTAACCGCAGAAGTTGAGTCACTACTGCACTTGTCCACCAGCGGACAACCTTGGCTTTAATGTGGGGCTGCCCAGGTGGTAGGAAGCTCTGCCTGCCTGAGTGTAGATCTTTATACGTGCTTCGTTTACAAATGCCCCTGTTCGATCCAGTGGATGTCTGTTTTTGAAGGGGTCTGCAAGTCTGTAACTACCAATTGCACGTGTGGATGTCTTCACCAATATCGTATGTACCTCCTGCAAAAAAAAAAACAGTAGCTGCCGAGTCAATTCTAATGATGACCCTATGTGTGTCAGAGTAGAACTATACTCCATAGGGTTGTCAATGGCTGATTTTTCAACAGTAAATCTCCATTCCTTTCTTCTCAGGCAGTTCTGAGTGACTTGAACTGCCAGTGTTTGGGTTTGCACCTGAGCATGTTAACTGTTTGTGCCACCCAGGGACATCTGTATGTACCCATGGCAGGGTGTATGAGTGGAACTCTTTGAGGATGTGTGTGTTTCTGTGTCTGTCTGCCTGTCTACATTGTGATCTGTAGCTGTGCATGCAGGTGACACTGAGTGTATCGTGTGGACCACTTTCTGTGGTGCATGTTGTCTAGCTGAGTGTGTCTCCGTGTCTGTATCTGCCATCTTTACATGTGCATGCTTGCATGTGTGCACATGTTGAGAGGGGAGTATTTCTGCATCCGTGTGTGTTTTAATTCAGTCTGTTGTCACGGTTTTGAAGGGTATTTTTGTCTGTAATGAGACAGTGCCGGTTCAGTGGTAGAATATTCCCCCTCCATGTGGGAGACCCAGGTTTGATTCCCATCGAAAGTACATTATGTGCAGCCACCACCCGTTTGTTAGTGGAGGCTTGCGTGTGGCTATAGTGCTGAACAGGTTTCAGCAGAGCTTCCAGAGTAAGAAAGACTAGGAAGAAAGACTTGGCGATTGACTTACGAAAATCAGTCAGCGAAAACCTTATGGATCACAGTGGTCCAAGCCCCAACTGATTATGGGGATGGTGCAGGACCGAGCAGAATTTTGTTTGTTACTGCATGGGGTCTCCATTAGTCGGGGCCGACTTGACGGCAGCTAACCAAACCCAACATCTGAGTCTGTAGTCTGTTCGCCTGTTGTGATGGGGGACTATTTTTGTATCTGTGTGTCTCCATAGCTGTCTGGTGTATTTGTCTGTTGTATGAGAGCAAGTAATTTTTTGTCTGTCTCTATAGCCATCTGTGTGTCTGCTTGCCAGTCGTATGAGAAGGGTGGGGAATCTATATCTGTGAGTCTCTCTTCGCTGTATTTGCCTGCCTGTGCGTCTTTTGAGAGCTGTGTTTTTTCATGACCATCTGTGTGCCTCTTGTGTGTGTGGGTATCTTTATGAGGGTCTGTGTATACATTAGGACCCTAGGTGGCACAAATGGTTTACTCTTGGCTACTAACAAAATGGTTGGTGATTTGAACCCACTCAGTGGTGTCATGGAAGAAAGGCCTGGTCATCTGCTTCCGTTAAAAAAAATTAAAACAACAAAACCCTATGGACCTCAGTTCTACTCTATAACACATGTGGTCACCATGAGTCAGAATCGACTCCATGGCAACAGGTTTGGTTTGGCTTTGGTTGTATACATTGTGTGTGTGAGAGCGAGTGTGTGTATTTGTGTGTCACTGTGTGTGTGTGTGCCCCTGTGTGTGTGTGTGCCCACCTCCAGGCAGTGAGGTCTTCCACAGGTAGCCAGAAATGATTGACCATCAGCATCAGAAGGTTTCTGAGTCAGGACACCATGGGGCTGCCACATATTCCTTTGGACCTCTCTATGCTGGCATATCAGGGCACCAGCTGTCCCCTTGAACTCAGTGCCCCAATCCTCAACGGGCCACTCCTGGGCACACCTGAGGCTCCTTAGTGCTGACACACCACCCCCATCATGCCAATACGAAGTGGCCTCCCAGAGAGTAATCTTCCAGAAGCCAATCACCCACTCTCTCTGCCTGGTCCCTCTAGGGAGACACCTAAGAATTCCATGAAGAGCCAAGCCCACTTCCCACCTTCTCTTCAGTGGGAACCCCATGGAAAGCCAAGCCCACCTCCTACCTTCTTTCCCAATGGGAACCCCATGAAAAGCCAAACCCACCTCCTACCCTCTCTCCCAGTGGCAACCCTGTGGAGATCCAAGCCCACCTCACACCTTTTCTCTCAATGGGAACCCTATGGAGATCCAAGCCCACCTCCCACCTTCTCTGCCAATGGGAACCCCAAGGACAGCCAAGTCCACCTCCACCCTATAGATTCAATGCAATCTGTTCAAAATTCCAACAGCCTTTTTTTCAGAAATGGAAAAAACAATCTTCAATTTTATAAGGAATGGCAAGAAGCCCTGAATAGCCAAAGTAATTTTGAAGAACAAAGCAGGATGATTCACACTTGATTTCAAAATGTACTTTACAACTACAACAATCAAAACAGTCTGCTACTGGTACAATAATAGACACAGAACAACAGATAGACAATTTGGGAGAAAATTTTAATGAACCATATATTTGATATGGGTCTAGTATACAAACACATACACAAAGCTTCCATAAGTTAACTACAACAAAATAAGATAAATAATCAAAAAGTGGGCAAAGGATTTGAACACACATTTCACAAATGAGTATATTCAATGATCAACAAGCACATGAAAAGTGGTGCAAATCAAAATCACAAAGAGGTATAACTCCACTCCCATAAAGATGGCTAAGATAAAAAGGAAAACAACAAATATTGGTGAGGATGTGGGAAAATATGAATCTTTATCCAATGTTGGTGGGAATGCAAAACGGTATAGGTGCTGTGGAAAACAGTTTGACAGTTCCTCAAAAAGTTAAACATAGAACTACCACATAACCCAGCAATTCCACTCCTAGGTATCTACCTAAGAGACGTGAAAAGCACCGATGCAAACAGACACACAAACACCGATGTTCACTGCGGCACTATTCACAATAGCAAAAAGGTGAGAACAACCTAAATATCCATCAATGGATGAATAAACAAAATGTGGTGCATACAAAGGAATGCTAGTCAGATGTAACTCTTAACCACTATGCCACCACAGGAAGAGAAGTCCTGATACATGCAAAACATTGATGAACCTTGAAAACATTATGCTGAGTGAAATAAGTCAATCACAAAAGGAAAATATTATATGATTTCACTTATAGGAAATAACAAGAATAGGCAAATATACTGAGACCAAAGTATTATTGGTTACCAGGGGCAAGAGGGACAGGGCAAAGAGGAGTCATTGTTTAGGAAGCTGTGAGTTTCTGTTTATGCTGATGGGAAATTTGTCAACGACTATGGTTCATCTTTGCACAACATAATTAATGTAATTTGTATCACTAAATGGCACACCTGAGAAATGATGAATTGGTATATGTTGTATTATATATATACTTAAACAATTAAAAAAAAAAAGCCGGCCTCAAAAAAGAAAACAAAACCAACAACAAAAAATGAGATACCACTTCATCCCCACTAGGAGGCTAAGATTATAAAAATGGAAAAACAAGAGAAACTGGAACCCTTGTCTATTACTAGTAGAAATGCAAACTGGTAGAGGTGCTGTGGAAAACAATTTGGCGGTTGGAAAAACAGCATAGGGGTGGCATCTGACCTTCTCTAGCTTCACAAGGGGGAGAGAGAATCACCATCACCGTCAGCCGGAAGCTGATTCCTAAGAAGCAGCGGTCAGACATATCTCCTCTCTCCGACCATTTTACCAATTCTGACACCAGCCGCTTGCCCATGGCATACTTTACTTCTCTGCTCAGTTCATTAACTCATTGCAGTGGTCACCCAGAACTCACAGACAATAGTCATGATTATGGGTTTATTAGGGAAGTAGTAGGTTACAATTCAGGATCAGAAATGATTGAGACTACAGTTTTTCGATCAGTACAGTTTTTTCTCAGCCGTGCCTGCAGGCGGGCCTCTCTCTAGCCCTCGGCCACTCAGCCCAGCCTCTGCCCTGCTCGGAAATGTGTTACCAAGCTCTTTAGCTTGCTAATAAGTGCCCAGAGGCACCCCACTCTGCCAGCAAGCCTCCTGCCTGAAGACAGCTCTCTCGCTCCATGGGCTGAGAATCTCACTGTACCATCTCCTGCTGGTCTTCTGGTTCTATTGCCCCTGCTGCTGCCATTTCTCTGCGTCTGCTCCTCACCATCTTAGGTGTTACAGCTGAATCGTGGGTCTAGCACGGTCTCAGCGTAGGGCTCCTGGGTCCAAAGGATGTGCTCTGCTCCTCTTTTTGTTGGTGGTAGTCAGGAGCCCCTCTGCTCTGGGATTGACTTTAACCCTAGTGGGATGGCAAACTGACCAATCCCCTCCTTAGGGTCCCAGACACCTTATGTGCATGGTCCCACCCCCAGAGGTTCCATGTACCTTCTTTGCATTAGCAGGAAGCTGTCCAATCCCCTTCGTGGGCCACAAGCACCTTATTTGAATAGTCCCACCCAATCATTATGTGGGAGTCACAGACTATGAATAGAAGGGGCATATTAAGTAATTCACTGCATCGCAGGCCTTCCTCAAAAAGTTAAACATAGAGCTACCACATGACTCAGCAATTACACTACTAGGTATATACTCAGGAGACTTGAAAGAAGCAATGCAGATACATGTACACCAATGTTCTCTGCAACACTGTTCACAATAGCAAAAAGGTGGGAACAACCTAAATGTCCATCAGTGGATGAATGAATAAAAATGTACATACATAAAATGGGATACTACTCATGAAGAGAAATGACGTCCTTATACATGTTATTAACATCGATGAACTTTAGAAAACATTGTGTTCAGTTAGGTAAATCAATCACAAAAGGACAAAACTTGTATAATCTCACTTATATGAAATACCTAGAATAGGCAAAGTACAGACATCAAAGTTCAATAATGGTTACCAGGAGTCACAGTAAGGGGGAAAGGAAGCATCGTTGTTTATAACGCATTGAGATTTTAGGATGTGGAAATTTGGCAAAGGATATGGTGATGTTTGCACAACAGTATTGATATAATTGGTGTCACTGAATTGTACAGGTGAAAATGTTGAATTGACATTGTTATATATGGTTATAAAACAACAAAAAGAGAAAAAAACCTGCAGGTGAATGTAGTATGTAAGACAGATTAAAGAGATCAAAAAATAAAAAAGCAATGTCCAAATCTTGTTTGGATCCTAGCTTTAAAAAACCCAACTACTGTAACAGATATTTTTGGACAACTGGAGAAATTTTCTGTCTTTTGTGGGACAATGGAGATTCGTTTTGTTCGTTTTTGACCATTTAAATGTTTCATTGCAATCATGTATTTATATATATGGATAAATAAGGCAATATCTTAATAGTTGGTAAGTCTAGGTCATGTGTTATGGGTGATCCTTTTACTGGAAGTACAGATTTTCTTTAGCTAAGAAATTAAAAATATATGGGAGAAATTCCATCTATGAAAACTCACTTTGTTTATGGTAAATTCAATTCCAACTAATGCTAGTAAAATAGATGAGCCTGCTTGGTCTTTCTTCTTAGAGGCTCCCATAATTTAAAGCTATGTAGGATAATCACGGCTCTGGAACTGGGGTGAGGTGGAGATGAGAACAGTGGTGAGCAGAACTTTTCTTCATGGTAGATTTGTATTTATCTTCATTCATACACTTATGGACTTATTTACATTACATACACAGGCTCAAACATAGCAACAATTGAGGATGGCACAGGACCGGGCAGTGTTTCATTCTGTTGTACATAGGGTCGTTATGAGTCAGAATCAAGCCAATCGCACTACAACACACAGGCTTCCTAATAACCTGGAAAAGTTTATCTTTCCACCTGGATAAATTTATCAAACTTCAATAAACGATAACTAAAGCCAGAGAGATGACACTGTTTTGACTGGAACACACCAGAATCACCAGGTCCAGGAGGACAGGATGAGACTGGGGCCACAGCCTCCTTCACACAAAAGGCAGAAGGTTTTTCCTTCTGGAGAAAGGACACAAATGTTGCTTTGAAGGCTTTGGGAGGATGGAACCCAGCAGATGAAAAAGCACTGCCTGCTTTTCCCAACACATCTCTTGGAGACCCAAGCCCAAGGCGGCTATCCTGATCCCAGCAAGGCTGGATGAGCTGCAGGCTGGGTGGGTGTGGGCAGAACAGTTGAGCTCTTGGAGGGGGCCACAGCTCTGGAGCACCTGAGGTTGGAGCAACCAGGAACTGGCTAAGGACTAGCAAACGGTGACCCTGTATCACCACCTTTGGACCCTCCCTATCCTCTTGCATGGTGATGTTGACTCTGCCTGCTACATAGAGAAAACTTACTTCGGACATGAGGGTTGGAGTGAGTGGTAAGAGGGCAGACTACCAACTGACTCGCTAGCTCGGATGTGCACATCTACTTCTGGATTCCACGCCAGGACAGACTATGCTCAGGACCTCAGGAATGTGGTGATGAGGAGCAATGGCCACTTCCTGTGGCTGGGAGCTGAGAATTGTTATTTTCCTTCCACAAATGGGTGGGGCCTGGGCTCAGACTAGGCTGGCAGTGGTAGTGGTGGCATAGCCAGGAACCCTATACACAGGGACCTGTGGTCTAATCAAGATTGCTTCAAGCCACCCCCTCCCCTCAGCAAATGTGGGGCCCCCTGTCAGATGAGCCACCCACTGAGTGTCCTTCCCTGGCGCCAGTGCCAAACAGAAGTGTGCTAGATTCCTTCAGAAAGCAGCCACTCCAGATCTCTGAAGCAACCATAATTACATGTTGCTGGAGAGAATACAAAATGGCACAGAACTTTTAAAAAACATATTAGCATGCTGTTTCTTATAAAGTTAAACATACACCTAACATATGACAGCAATCCCACTCCCAGGTATCTATGTGAGAAAAATGAAAGCTTTATGATCACATAAAAATCTGTACAATTTTATTTCAGCTTTATTCATAAAAACTGGAAACACAACTGTCTCCCAATGGCGAATATACAAACTGTAGTATGTCTACACAACAGAAAACTACAAAAAAGGAATTATTGATACTCATCAACAAAGATGACTCTCAAAGGTATTATTCTAAGTGATCAACAAGGATGACTTTCGAAGGTATTATTCGAAGTGAAAGGAACAAGAATGAAAAATTTACGTAGTGAATATGTATAGGGACAGTCACCAGTGATTCCCAGAAAGGGGAAGTTCTGACTAAAAAAGGGCGGCATGAGGGAGGTTTTGGAGGGAATAATGATACGATTGTGTATCACTGTGCTATAGACTACCAGACTTAATACATTTTTAACCTCATATAACTATACATTTCAAAAGTGAATTACTGTTTTCAAATTTTAAAAATAAGATTAAAAATCTCGTAAGCAATGAACAATGAATGTAAAAAAAGTGAAAAGTAGGGAGAAGCAAAACAAGAAATTAATCACAATCTCATCTTTGGTGGAGAATCCTTGTTAATATTCTAGGATGGACTATCTCTATAAGCTGGTTTGTAGGCATTTATAAAATGTAAAACATTTATGTGTAAATGTTTACAAACTGTCATCATGTACATACTATTTTATATCCTGTTTTTTTCACAAAATATTATGCCAAAAATACCTCTGCTATGGTTTAAACTTTTCTGGAACTCATTTAGTAGCACTTCAATATTCTAACGTGTGTGCAAGGATTTATCAGATTCCCTTATTGGTAGACAATGATTCTCATGGTATCCACTATCTATCACTACTATCAACAGACACTATAACAGTACCCAGGGATTTCCATAGGATGATTCTACAAGAGGAGGTGCTGAGTCAAGGGAAGGTCTAATTTGAAGGCCTCTACTACTGCAGTCACCATTTCCCAGCCCCTTACATGAGGAGTCAGTGAGGCACCTCCCAGTTCAGCGTGGGACAGAGTGGTGCTGGATAAACCTCCAGGACCAATAGTCTCTTGTATGTTCCCACTAATACAGGGAACCTAGATGGACCAACCCTGCATGGGTGTGTACACCAGGTGGAGCAGCAGTCCCTATTCCAGCTCAGCCCAGCAACTGCAGCTTCACATCCTGGCCCAGCGTACACTTTTTGTCAGAATTACCAAAACCAGACTCTGTCAATAAGAATAAGCTCTGTGCCTATGCAGAATGCAAGCTCCACTGCAGTTGTGTCAGGATAGGCTCTGTGCTGGCACACCATCGCGTTCGGCCCTCAGAATCATCCATCCTTCCATGTAAACCCTGCTTTTCCTACCATCATTTGAGAGAGTGGTACTTCTGTGAGTTGATTTGGTTTAAAACTTTCTCTGCAGTTCCTTCATCAGTAAACGAGGAATCATGATAGTAGCAGGGAAAATAAATGAGATGTAATATAAAACATGCCTACTACAACACTATCATACAGTATAATTCTGATTCTGTTAAAAATATTGGTTTTCATACAAGAAGTGTGAAAGGAAATAAAATACCAAGAGTTGTAAAAAGATAAAGAATGAAACCTACCGAACATTGATTAGATATATTGTTTCTTTCCAATACACTTATATGTGTTCTAAAGGATGAGGGACATCTGAAAACTTTCCTATGTTCCTTACATTCATAGACTCCACCATGAGTTATGTTTACAGAAATAGTAACTAGGCTTTTCTGTATTCCTTACATTCATAAGCTCTCTCTCCACTGTGAGTTCTTAGACATGAAATGAGGGGTGAAGAACTAGTCACACAATTCTTACATTCATAAGGTATCTTTTCATTGTGAGTACTGTGTGTTTAATGAGCTTTGAGGACTAAAGGTTTTACCACATTACTTATACTCAGAAGGCCTCTTTCCACTGTGAAATGTTAAATGGTTAGCAAGGTGTGCCAACTTACTAAATTTTTCCCCGATTCTGAATACTCATAAGGTTTCTCTCCACTGAGCTGTTCAATGGTTAGTCACGTGTGCCAACTTACTAAATGCTTTCTCATATTTCTGATATTCAAAAGGCTTCTCTCCACTGTGTGTTCTTATATGGATAGAGGGATGAGGAATGATGAAGGGCTTTCCCACATTCCTCACATTCATAAAGACTTCTCTCTACTGTGAGTTCTTATATGTGTAGTGAGGGATGACGACTGACTAAAGGCTTTCCCACATTCCTGACATTCATAGGGCCTCTAGCCATTGTGAATTCTTATATGTTTACTGAAGGATGAGGGCTGACCAAAGGCTTTCCCACATTCCTGACATTCATAAGGCTTCTCTCCACTGTGAGTTCGTATATGGTTAGTGAGAGACGAGGAATGACTAAAGGCTTTCCCACATTCCTGACATTCATAAGGCTTTTCTCCACTATGAGTTCTTATATGGCTAATGAGGGATGAGGACTGACTAAAGGCTTTCCCACATTGCTTACATTCATAAGACTTTTCTCCACTGTGTGTTTTTTTATGGCTAGTGAGGGAGAAGGAATAACAAAAGATTTTCCCACATTCTTTACATTCATAAGGCTTCTCTCCAGTGTGAATTCTTAAATGTTTAGTGAGGGATGTGGAACAAGTAAAGGCTTTACCACATTCCTTACATTCATAGGGCTTATCTCCAGTGTGAGTTCTTATATGTTTAATGAGGTTTGAGGATCGACTAAAGGCTTTCCCACATTGCTTACATTCATAAGGCCTCTCTCCACTGTGAGTTCTTAAATGTACAGTGAGGGATGCGGAACGATTAAAGGTTTTCCCACATTCCTTACATTCAAATGGCCTCTCTCCACTGTGAGTTCTTACATGTTTAGTGAGGGAAGAGGACTGACTGAAGGATTTCCCACATTCCTTACATTCATAAGGCTTCTCTCCACTGTGAATTCTTCTATGTCTAGTGAGGTGTGAGGACTGACTAAAGACTTTTCCACATTGCTTACATTCATATGACTTTTTTCCACTATGAGCACTTATTTGATTAGTGAGTTTTGGGGACTGATTAAAAGATTTTGAAAATTCTGTATATTCAAAAGGTTTTTCTCCAGTCTGATTTCTTACGTGTTCTGTGAGGGATGCAGCACAACTGAGAGCTTTCCAACATTCTTTACATTCATAAGACCACTCTCCACTATGAAATTTCTGACAAAAAGTGACGGTTGAGGGACGAGTATAGGTTTTCCAATATTTTTTACATTTACGCTTATGACCTCTCACGTGTGTCCTAAAGGATGAGAAACTACAGAAATCTTCCCCACGTTCATTACATTCATACGGTTTCTCTCCAGTGAGTGTTGTCACATGGTTCGTAGGAGTTGAGATACAAACGAAATCTTTCCCACATTCTCTACAGGGTTTCTTATCAAGAGTTCTCACAGGAGTGTGTAGGTAAGAGGGACAACTGCAGGATTCTCCACATTCCTTACACTGACAGGCACTGCATCCAGTGTGAGATGGGACATGATGCTTAAGTGATGAACGATTCATGAAGGCTTTTCCATACTCATAGCATTCAGAAGGATTTAATTCAGGAGTAGTTGTTTTGAGCACAGTATGAGCTGGAATCTGGCTCAAGGTTTTTCCACACTGACTGCCTTTGTTACTTTCACAAAGGTTCTCCACCAAATGCCGTCTGTTAAAGAAAAGGGCAACATGCTGCTGGGAATAAAGCTGTTGCCATTTCACCATTACGAACACAGTGAATGTGTATATTATTGCCCTGAGTTGTCTCATGCTTCATAGGTTAAATTATCTAGTACAGATGCGACCATTCCTGACACAATGTTTCTAAAATATGCTTTCTGATGATTGTGTAGAAGTGAAATATGTTTCAAATACTCAGTATCTGACTCACATTTATAAAAATATTGTAAAAATTCTCTGAACACACAATTTCAGAGCTATCTACATGTGTATATTTAGATAGATACATCTCTCTATCTATCTGTGTTTGCATACAGTGAAACCTGTGAAAGGCAGAACTCAACAGGACTGCCTCATTATTCTGGGTGTCATAACTCTTCTACCTTTGGTGGTGCAGTCTTACATTCATAAGACTACTCTCCACTCATTTTAGTGTATATTTGAGTTCCTCTTCTCTGGCAGTTTTCCATCTGACACACGTTATAGCTTTCACAAGTTTTACTGTATATTGTTAATGTTATGATAACTGAAGACTGTCTCCTGAGGCACTGCTCTCTCTCATGTGAATGACACTCACCTCATATGTCTCCCCTGGTTTTTATGTTGATCTTCAATGCCATGCAATTTGCCGATTTCTCCTAACACAGATAACCAGGTATTTCTCTTCATGATTTTCTCTGTAATATGTTCACTAGATAATTTTTCTCCACTACTAAGGTCTTGAGAAACTGACGCGATGATTGAAGTTGAGGTTCACAATATGAAACAAAAAAGAAGGGAATTATTGGGAAGACCAAGACAGCTGTGAATAAAGAAGGACTTTGAGGATGTGGATGTCTGGCAATGGCCAGAAAGTAATTAGGAAATACATCCAAGGAGACACATGTAACATGAAAATGCACAATATACATGTAAGAGGAAAATGGGAAGGTCTTTCTCCATGAACACAGGTGTGGGAAGACTGAGGAAAATTAGAAAAGTAAGCTCAGGTATGTGTAAAGGTCACTTTTCTCAACCCCAAAGAGACCTTTTCTAACTGATTTATTCAAATCTAATTCCCTCCACACAGGGCTAGTCCTTCAACAGATTTTTGACTTGCTGCTGCTCCCCAACACGGTGGTTCTGTAAGAGTCCTATCTCTACTGTCCTCAGATCTTTCTCTTGGTTACCTGGGAGAACAAATGTGTGTAGCTGACATAGTGCTAATGGAGAAAGACAAATCCCGGGAAATGAGAGTGAAGAGCAGTGAACATTTCATTTATACTGAGAGAATACTTTGGTCTTCAGAGTCTCCTGAGATCAGAGGTTTGAGTTTATTTTCAGCAAAATAAGCATCTGAAACTTATAATAAACACATTAAAAGAATATACAAGGTCCCAAACCAAATCTCTCTGTGCTCAAGTGTCCTATGGAGCCAATTCTCACACTTACAATACTTAAAAGTGCCTCAAGACTTTTAACCACAAGAGAAATAAAAAGTCATTTTAGTAGTTTTGTATGTTTACGGGGAAGCCAGAATATGTAAGCTCCATAGAGGAAATGACCATGCCTGTATTATTTATCATTGTATTTCCATTCCTCAGCCCAAATGCTGGTGCAGTATGAAACATCTGTCCACTAAAGGAGAAAATTTAAAATTTTTTTTAAAAAAGATGATGCCATCCTTACCGACTGAGGCCAGGTTTCTCAAGGTTTCCATCATCACATCTCTGTAGAGTTTCCTCTGAGGAAGATCCAGCAAAGTCCACTCTTCCTGAGTAAAGTCCACAGCCACATCCTCAATGACAAGTGAGTCCTAAAACATCCCACACATTCTGGATCAGCAAGGTATCACATACTCTAATGTGTGCAAAAGGAAGGGTGAGGTTGACAGTCCTTGGAAACTGAGATTTCAAAGGGTTTTGACACAAGGTTTTATGTTCTAGCAAGGTCTACTGTAGGGATTAGCTATTGGCCTCTTCCTTCACTGTCTACACTGTCTTCTTCACTGACTGCATCTTGTCTCAAAAGACTTAACAATACTCCCAATATACTGACATTATCTCTCTACAATTTGATTGTGGCCAATTCCAGGGTTATTCCACTCTATATGTACATACTAAAACAGAGCACATAACAGTAATTAGAGAAAGACTCTACAAATGAAAGTATTATTTCTACATTTAGATCATCACTTCCTTGTGAAAAAACAATTTCACCTCTTTCAAAATGACCGATCAGAACACGCAACAAAACATGAAGCACAGGGTGAAAGCAGGATGATATTTACAACTGAAAAACACTTAAGGACTGGCAGTTTTTCCTTTTGCCCCTCACCAGGGGAGGCCCATGGATCTACACAAGAAAACTGGTAACACAAGGCCCTGACCTGATTGCGTTTTCTTGGAAACCCCAGTTGATCAGGAGGTGATAGGAGCACATGCAGAAAATATTCTTTCCAAGATTTATGAATCTCTATATGTTTCTCACCCATTTTTCAATAACTGAGTTCTGCTATCATGCTTTCTGTCCCTTACGTGGAAACAGACAAGGTATTGATAAATTAAAGCTCAATTGAGAGACAGGAAACAGAATTCAGAGTTCTCCATGATCATTAAACTTCCCACACCCAATGGTACTGTACAATTTTCAGTGACCGCTCCCCTCAACATACATCCAGAAACCCACAAAAACACTCTCTAATGTTAAAAGATAAAAAGCTCTATCTCTGAAAGAACCATCATGGCATGCCCTTGTGTTTGCTGACTGAGAAAAGGTTAAAATTCTCATTTCATAAATAAGTCAATCTTCTCAGTAAGTTAACTGAAGTACAGAGAATTGAGCTGTTACAATGTCGATGATTCTCAGGAAACAATGACTTACACATCATCCCTCTAGAGGTCCCACTCCAAAATTTTCTCACATTTGTAGCCCCTGGAATGCACACAAGCATGACTACCTGAACCCTAACCATTGGAATACCCTGGGCTGTAAGAGTGGTCTCTACGAAATATTCTTAATCCATTGGCTTTCCCATGTAGTGAGGAGAGAAAAGGTTACTACACTGCACTAATGATGCAAAATAGGGCTGAACAGCAGAGCACCTGTAGAATAGAAAGGCTCCTCTTGTCAAGGCAGGAGGTGAAGTAAGCTGCCTAAGTCATCTCTCACCACTCCTGGTATAACAGTGGCACAGGAAATGTCGACCCACAGCCAAAATTCAAGTCTCTTCCATTGCAGCGGGCCAGGTTACACAGATTAAAGCCATGAAAAAGTTTACTGAGCAACTATGATACGTGAAAGGTTTTGCAATCAGCTTCACACAGTAGCTCATTCAGATCTCATAATGACTCTTTTAAACAGGTATTACTTCAATAGCTGAGGAAAGTCAGAGACAATCACTTGCTCAGTGTCGCTCAGTTAGAAAGTTGCTGAGCCACAGTTAGAATGCAGGTCAAATTGTTTCTGAGGCCTAAATTGCTGAAAACTACATTTCTGTTCAGATTCAGTTTTGTTATTACTCTGGGTGTTATTCTCCTATAACACCATGGATGATCTAGAGCCCTGCTAGGTGCTAGGAAGAGGAGACAAATGAAACATTCCATTCAATTCAGACAACCTGGAGCTTCTCCTAATGGCAAAGTCCCGTGTCTCAGGCAAGACGGCTTTCCTTCAGGTCCTAACCTCTGACTTCCTCATTAAAATCCATTTAGGTAATACTGACTCAGAGCCTACTTCGTGTGCAAAACAGATACAGAACTGAATAAAACAGACATATCCAGATGCACATGGATCACAAATTCTTTGGCAATGGAAAATAAACAATAGAACATAATGTCAAATGACAATAAGTTCTAAGGAAAATGCAACACAGTAAGGCGATACTCAACACGAAGCACGAACATATTTATCTTTACTGAGTTATGCAAGGCAAAGCAAACTAAACATTTCAGAATATAACAGTGAAACCTGGCTTGGTATAGGAAAATTAAAATAAAAAAAAAACACTTTCTATTCTAAAAACTTGAAAGCAGATTGTGATAATTTTGCAAATACTCATATAGATCTCACATGCTCATCAACTTCAACATGTCTTAATGTAGAAGCACAAGAGTCAAAGGCCTCCACTGACCTTCATTCCCAGGAAAAACATACATTGTTTATTCCCAGAGAGGGAAAGGTCATTAGCAATAGACTAAATACATAAATCCGGGACACTAGAAAAATAAAAGCAACATAAATGAATAGTATAAAGTAAATAATATAAAAATAAAGACAATAGTAATTATATGAAACACAAATGAAATCTTCTAGTTTCTGGTCTATGAGTTCGGAAGTAGTTACTCCCGTCCTCGCAACAACAAAAAAAGGTGAACATACTGAACTCAGAGAATTGAGGTCATAAGGCAAACTGCTGCCTCCAATACTGGAGGGACAGATAGGCAGATACATAGACTACCACCAGAGCAGAAGCCCAAGAGCAGAAACCACAGCTAGAATCAGTACAGGAGTAGAGTAGCAAAACTTGAACTGTAACTGACAAATTGCTTGAAGGCTGTGTGGACAAGCTTAAGGGTTAAAAATGCCAGGGGAGTCAAATCTTAGAGATTCACACAGGTTTTTGAGTTTTACCTCTAGGAACCCTACTAGGTCTTGTGTGAAGATCAGAGAAAAATCACCTCGTACTTATAGTAGAGAGAAGAGGAAAAGTAGCGTTTTTAAAGTTACCTAGCACATTCTGTACTTAACAAGGCTTGCCATCAAGGGAAACTATTTTACCAGAGTCTGACTTTCAAAAGTGAAATACCCAACTCTAGACCCAACTAGGCCTCCTATCTCATCAAAGTAGGGGAGGAAATAAGGAGAGAAGAATATGTGAGTTCACTGCCCAGGGGCACAGGCTCACTAAAAGACTCACACCTCATCATTATACTACAGGATGCCACCCATCCCGAACCGTACCACCACAACAGTAGAATTCCTATATAGGAACAGGAAATTACAACTGAAAGAACTCCAAGTCTCACATTTTATTTAAGAAATGCCTAAGAAACCCACACACAACAAGGAAGACAAAAACGAAAACAGCAGGGAACATTTTGGCCTCTGACACCTATAGCAAACAGTAAACACAACTTAACTTCTAGCCAGATAGAGATAAAACCTCACACTAAAGGCCTATTTACCTCAGTTCTTTTCACTTAGTACATAACATCTAGCTTTCAACAAAAAAACTACAGGCATACTAAACGCAAAAAACACAGCTTGAAAAGACACAGCAAGCATTAGAACCAGTCTAGATATGGCAGAGATATATCAGACTGGAAATTCAAAACAACTATGATTAACACGTTGTTGTTAAGTGATGCTGAGTCCGTTCTGACTCTAGCGATCCTACGTAAAACAGAACAAAACGCTGCCCAGTCCTGCGTCATCCCGTGCCAACCTCACAATCGTTGCTGTTTCAACCCATTGTTGCAGCCACTGTGTCAATCCATCTCATTGAGGGTCTTCCTCTTTCTTGCTGACCCTCCACTTTACCAAGCATGCAGGGACTGGTCCATCCTGCTAACATGTTCAAAGTACATGAGATGAAGTCTTGCCATCCTCGCTTCCAAGGAGCATTCTAGGTGTACTTCTTCTAAGACAGATATTTTCTTTCTTCCGGCAGTTCATGGTATAGTGAATATTTTTCGCCAACACCATAATTCAAATGAATCAATTCTTCTTCTATCTTCCTTATTCACTGTCCAGCTTTTGTATGCATATAAAGCAGCTGAAAATATCATGGCTTGGGTCAGGCGCGCCTTTGTCCTCAAGTGACATCTTTGCTTTTTAACAGTTTAAAGAGATCTTTTACAGCAGAACTACCAGGCTAACAACTCTAGTAAATAAAGGAAATAACATGCAAGAACAAATGGGTAATGTTAGCAGAGACAGGGAAAAGGTAAGAAAGAATTCAAAGAAAATTCTGGAAATCAGAAACACTGTAAACAAAATGAAGAATGCCTTTAAGAAGTTCATCAAATAACTGGAAAAATCCAAAGAAAAAATCAAGTGGAATATATGTCAGTAAAAACTTCCAAACTGAAATACAAAGAGAAATAAGAATGAAACAGATGGAAGAGAATATCCAAAAGCTGTGGGAAAATAAAAAAAGGTGGACCATATGTGTATTGGTAATAATACCACAAAAGAAAGAAAATAGGAATGAACAAGAGAAATATTTGAAGTAATAATGGTAAACGATTTTAGAAAATTAATGGCAGACACCAAACAACAGAATCACTAAGTTCAAAGAACACTAAGCTGGATAAACACCAAAAAAAATCTGTATCTAGGCATATACCATTCACATTAAAGAAAATGAAAGAGAAAATACTGAAAGAAGCCAGAGGAGAAAAAGAAAACAACTTCCTAAAGAAGAGCACACTTAAGAATTACATCACACTGAAGAAATCATACAAGCAAGAAGAGACTGGAGTGAAATATTTAGTGTTGAGGGGAAAAAAAAAAGACTACCAACCTAGATTCTGCATCCAGAACAATTATCCTTCAAAAGTGAAGCAGAACAACGCTAGGAGCCCTAATACATGGCATAAATAGTATACAAAACATAACAATGCACAAACACCAGAAGAGAAATTAGATTACTGGGAGCTCCTAAAAATCAAACACGCTCATCAAAAGACTTCACCAAAATAGTCAAAAGAGAACCTATAGACTGCGAAAAAAATTTTGGCTACGACATATGCCATAAAGGTCTAATCTCTAAAATCTACAAAATACGGCAACATCTCAACAACAAAAAGACAA